ATTGAGCCGAATAAAAGTTCTACAAAAACAATAAACATACTAAATTAGATATACCAAAACTACACTGTGAAGATATACCAAAAACAATAATAAACATAATAGTAGTAGTTTATTCTTCAAACTTAAATATGCAACACTGTGAATTTCGTATTTGTCTTTGTTTTTTGGTTGAAGTAATGCAATTCATTCAAGTTTCAATTTGCAGAAGAAGAATAGTTTCTGAAAATGAAAATCGCAACACGAAAATGACTATCGCAACGAGAGAATCGCAACGCGAAACTAAAATCGCGTTGCGATTTGCATTTCGCGTTGCGATTCTTGGTTGATTTAATAAGCAATCTAAGTGAAATGGTTAATCTATTATTGAAATTACCAGTAAACTTATCATCAATTTCAATATGAAAAACCTAATAATAATGCAAAAATTTCAAAAAGAAAATAATTAAAAAACTAACCCTCGTTGGTTGATTTGGTTGATTTTCCATTTCTGATTGTGAGGGTGGCTCTGAGAGATTTAGATAGACGGATTTCGCCGGAGATGGGGACGGATTTCGTCGGAGATGGGTGAGAGAGTGAGAGATGGAGATGGGACTGAGTTGTGATTTTAGGTTTTAGGTTATGAGTTGCGATTACGGGATATACTGTGGACAGTTCAGTGTTCCAATATATTAATATTCATGTTTGGAATTTAAAAATAAAATACTTGGCCAGGATACTAATGGCGCTTTGAAAATCGCATTGCGATTATGTAAATCGCGTTGCGAAAGTCAGTATCGCGTTGCGAAAGTAAGTATCTCGTTGCGATTTTTTATTATCGCATTGCGATAGTAAGTATCGCATTGCGATTTTCCCAATTCGCGTTGCGATTTACTTATTCGCATTGCGATTTTCCCAATTCGCGTTGCGATTTACTTATTCGCATTGCGAATTGGGAAAATCGCAACGATACTGTAGACCATCGCAACGCGATTTTCAACTATCGCATTGCGAAAATGCAACGCGAATTTGCGATAATGGAGATCGCGTTGCGAATTAGCGATCGCATTGCGATTTTGTTGGTCATTTTGGCAAATCCGGAAAAAGTTGGTTAAAATCGTATATTATATGGGATTTTTGGTCACTGAGGTTATTTTCTCAATAAAGAATGATGATTGTAATACTGGAGTATCAGATGTTACAAGTATTGCTTGAAATTTTAGGATGTTGTACCAAAGAACAAAAACTAAACTTTAATTATGTCTTTTATTATGGCGTTTTATGTACTTTAAGATCTATATTGACACTTAATTCAAATAATCCTTGGATTATTTTATTATGTTTCTTAATAGACATGCTTTTTTATGTTTGTTGCTTAAATATAACTTAAGTTTGCTTTCAGGCGGGTCTAGATGGGTACATCACTTGTGGGTAGTAGGTGTGGGGATAGATTTAAGAATGTATCCAAATTGACGGGTGTGGATTTAAAAATTTGCACCCATCATGGGTGGTGGGCGGGTGGTAGATTGAAAAATATTATGTAGGTATGAGGATGAGAAGGGGGTATCCGCACCCGACCCGCCCATTTGTCATCCCTTCCAACCACCTCTCCCTTCAAAACTTCTCTAAAAAAAAGAAAAAAGAAAAAGAGAGAGAGGCTAAACTATGCATTTAGTCACTTAAGTTTTATCATATTTGTATTTTAATCTCTTAACTTTAAATCTTTTAATTGTATCACATAATTTTTATGTTGTGAATAATTTTATTTCTGAAATTAATTTGAAAACTTTGAATAAATTTAATTCAAGTCCAAAATTTTTTTATCTTAATTGTTATATCAAAATATAGTTCAACAATCGCCCCTTTTTTATATAACAAAATATTTAAAAATTTGTTTTTGGTAAAACTCTCCATTAATAAAATATTTAATGAAAAATATATCAAATGTTGGAAATGTATGAAAATGTTAATCTCCTCTTTTTCATTAAGAAATTGAATTTTTCAAACGAATACTTCTCCCTTTTTTGTTACATAAAAAATAATTCAACTTTAAAATTCAAAAATAACAATGGAGAGTAAGTGGTAATTTTGACATTAAAAAGCATTTGAAAAATCAAAACTTCCTCTCAAAAAGTGCATCCCAAAAAAAATGACTTTTAAGAACTTGACACTTAAATAAAATTGAATTTCACAAAGAATAACAAACATGTTAGTAGCACATGAAATTCAATATATATACAAGTCTAAAATATTTTATGCAATATCAAATGTTGAAATTAAGAGCATATGCATAAAATCTTCCAAAATTTTATGCATTTGAAAATTTTGATATCAATTGTTAAAAGGATATCATTTTCATTTTAAATCACATGCATAAACATTTAAATTTAGGTCAAAACTTAAAATTTTAAAATCAAAGCATTTGAAAAATTGATATCAAATGTTAGAGAGATATCATTTGCATTTAAAACCAATTTTGACCAAAATTTATTATGATGAACAAACATTTATGAAAAATCATTAAACTTTAGAAAATGTTCATCACAATTTCTTTTTAACATACATGAGATGAAAAACAATGTATAATCATTTAAAATAAAAAAACTCATGCATGTTTAACATAACTAGGCAACCAATTAATCAAAATAAAAGCATTAAGCTTAGAGGTTACTCATTCCTTTTAAAGTGTGGCTAGAGCATTTGAAAGTCTTTATTTTCATCACCATTGCTCCCACAAAACTACAAGAGACATTTAAGTAGATTTCGGTATCCAAATTGCTTTGGATCCTTGAACATTAGTTTCAATGCCCCTTGTTCCCTTAGGAACTCATACTTGTCTAATTTTAAAATGTTTTCCTTTCTTCAAAGGACAAATATGTTCCAAATGACCATGAAAATGACAATGTGAGCATTTTGCCATTTTTAAACATAATGAGTTGTTTTAGAAATTAATTCTTTTTCTTTTGTTAAGCTCTCAAATTTAACTTTTAAATCAAAATTTTCTTTTTCTAAATCATTGATTTTGACTTTTGAAAGCTCTAAATCATTTTCAAAGATTTATTTTGTTTTTCAAAATCAACTTTTGCTTTCAAAACCAAATCATTTTTAACTTTAAGTTTTGAAATTAATTTATTATATTCAGAATTCATGGTCTCAAATTCCAAATACAACTCGTTATAAGCAATTTGTAACTCATCAAAAGAATAATAATCTAATTCATTTGAGTTAGAAGTTACCATTTAATTTTCTTCGATGGCCATGATCCATAGGTTGGCTACTTCATATTCATCATTGGAGTCATCTTCATCACTCCAAGCTGCCACAAATGCCTTTTTCTTGCTTGATCCCTTCTTCTTTAAGAGAGGACATTCATACTTGACGTGCCCCGTTCTTTGACATTCGAAGCACGCTATGGGACTCTTATTCTTTTTCGATCCATGCTTCACATCCTTAGAAGTCATGAATCTCTTGAATCTTTTGAAGAGTTTGGCCATCTATTCTTCTTCATCATCGTCTTCATCCACCTCTTCATTTGAATCTTGATTGCTCTCATTGGTGGATTTGAAGGCAATGCCTACCTCATTTTTCTTGTTTTGCTTCTCTTCATCTTCTTCCTCTTCCTTCATCATTAACTCATGAGTGAGAAGAGAACCAATAAGCTCATCGAGAGTGAGAGACTTTATGTTTTTAGCTTCGATAATCGACGACTTCTTCGATTGCCAAGACTTTGGAAGATAGTATATCATACATCATCTTCCTCACAAGCTTCTCATTATGGATTACTTATCCAAATCCCTTGAGACCGTCGACAATCATGGAAAATTTATCCATCATAGCTTTGATGTCTTCATCGGGTTTCATCTTGAAATTCTCGTAGCTATAGTTGAGAAGACATCTTGGTTTCACTCACTTCATCATTTCCTTCATGGGTGACTTGGAGGTTATCCCATATCTCATTGGCATTGGAACAAGATGAGACTCTTCCATATTCATTTGGGCCTAATGCACAAAAGAGAATGTGCATAGCCTTAACATTGAGTTAAAACTTCTTCTTCTCTCCATCAATCCAATCGTCCATCTCGCCAGTTGGAATGATGTAGCCTTTCATGATATAGTTCCAATGCTCCTAGATTGTTGACTTGAATGAAGAACATTATCCTATTCTTCCAATAGTCATAATTTGCTCTATTGAAGTAGGGTGACATGTTAACCGACTGTGAATCTTCAATGTAATAGGCACTGGAGATTGAAGCTATTTTCTTGTCGGTTGTGTTGATAATCGGTAGAGCTTATTCAAGGAATGTCTCAATGTGGTTAAACCTTCTAAAGAGTTAGGTTCTGATACCAATCGTTAGGATAAAAGAAGCTCAATTAAACAACTGAAAAGTGCAAGGATGGGTGAATTGACAATTTGTGTTTAGGGAGTAAGGAGAATAAAAGGTAGAAAAAATTGAAAACTTTGAATAAATTCAATTCAAGTCCAAAAATATTTTGCCTTAATTGTTATATCAAAATATAGTTCAACAATATATTATCTTTTTTTTTTACATTTTTCAACATCATTTGAATGCTATCAGGCATTGATTATAGCCTAAATGATGGTATAAAATGTTTTTATTTATCTTTTATTTATTTTTCTTAATTTGAGTTATTTTTTTAAAAATAAATCGATAAAATTTAAATAAAAATATTAATTTTAACTTAATTTAAAATATCTATTATTTGATCTATATGAAATTAAAATATAGTATATATTTTCTTCTCAATCCTTCACTATTAAGATTTGAAAAAAAATATTTTGATATTGATAAATTAAAGTAGAGTTCAAAAATTTGAATTTGAGAAGAAATTGAGAAATTTTTGTATAATTCTTTTAAAAAAATAAACGGCGTTAACGTTAAAGTAATGAAGGGACTAAAACGTAAACAGTGAAATGGATTTGAAAATTAAATTTTAAACTTTAGTATAATAAGGGACTAATACCAGAATTAAACGAAAACCGTTTACAATCTACAGCTATATCTATACTTTTCATGAGCTCATCTGAGAAATTGAAGGAATCAATAGTAGGGTAAGCAAACTCAGAGAGGCATGTCAACGCTGAAAGAGATCCTAACACGGCGACCAGTGGCGGCGACCATTAGGCTGACGGTACCGGCGGGAGGAGCACGACCCGCACCGCCTGTAGGCCCAGCCCTCGGACAGTACCGGCTCAATCTAATGGCTTTCTGCAAGGACTTCAACGCCCGAACCCAAAAGTACAAGCCCTACACCCCCATGGCAGTCACCATCACCGCCTTCAAAGACAACACCTTTGAGTTCACCGTCAAGTCTCCTTCCATCACGTGGTACCTGAAGAAAGCGGCGGGTATCGAATCTGGAAGCAGCCGGCCAGGCCACGTGATCGCCACCACATTGTCCGTCAGATACATTTATGAGATTGCCAAGATTAAGAAGTCCGATCCCTATTGTCAATACATGTCCCTGGAGAGTATTTCTAAGTCCATTATTGGGACTGCTAATACTATGGGGATTAGAATAGTCAAGGACTTGGATTAGATTCTTCATTTCCTTTTCAATCTAAAAACTTGAAATGGTATTTTCGTTACCGCTTTGTCTTTGGTGCATCTCAGCTGTTCGACGTATTGTCTGTGTGCGAAAACCTTGGCATGCGTGTTTAGATGATTTCTGCAACTTCCAAACATTATTTCAATTCACTGCATAGTTTCTGAATTGTTGTTTTAGTTTTTCACAAGAGGGTGGAAGGTTTTCCCTATTGAGTCCGGAAAGTGATGTCAATCAAAACTTCATTACAACTGAATTGTGGTTTTATCAGAACAATAGTTTTTTCTCAATTAATGTCCAATTGTCAAGGAACTGCTCGACGAAATACCCATTTCCATGTGCGTGCCCCAAGATGAAGATACTCATGTCAGCCTCGTTCGAGGCCGATGTCAGAGAATCTCTTGATTTGGCTCCGGATTTGATACTCCCCTTCTATGAAGATTTCCAATTCAATGTTAGCGATGGGAATTTGAAACTCTTATTCGTGGATTTTGCCAAAAAATAGTGTTGGATTGGCTGTGTTTTATCCTTTTTGAAGGAGTAAAATTTCAAATGCAGTAGAAAATGAAGAGCTAAATTGAAATTTGTCAATAAGTGTAAGCCACATGAGATATTTGTAAGTTATGAGATCATGATATTGCCAACAAAACCCTTCTCAACTATATGCCATCCGGACAAAAAATAAACATTCAACACACACATATATAATGAAAGAAAAATGAAGCATTATTTTTAAAAATAAAACCAAAAAACAATAACAAGAACAACGAGTGCATAAAAAATGAGTTTATGCAAATTTTACGTTTCATATCGCATACAATGATTATCACCGACTATTTGGAAACAACATTCCGTAAGTCCAGACCCGTCCATAAACCAGGAGAAAAGCCACTAAAACTAGAACTAAAAACAACCAAAAGAAAGAAAATGAACTGTATAAAGATGCAGAAAATAAAATAGAAACAAAAAAGACTTTCGCACAACCACTCCAGTATTGAGTCACTATATATACCAACAAAAGAATCAAAGCCGCCGCACAAGAGACCAAAATCTCGACCTACAAGGCATGATAAAGCGAAACACCCCTCCAGCATCCATTGAATTGAATTTATATTGTATTATACCGTATTTATTTATACCTAAAAAGCACTCCATTTATCGGAGTCTCTCCTCAGAGTCTGACTCTCCAGTGAAGTCCTAAATGGCCCTGTTGACCCAAATGGATCATTGTCATCAAATGATGCAAACTCGCGACTATGATCAAACCCTGCAGTGCTTCCCACGGAATCAAATCTAGTTAGTGATTTATCAGGTTGATCACGTGAATTAAATGAGTCAAACCTCGATGGGGGAAACCCATAACCTTGATCAAAGTCTGTTGAGCTGCGCATGGAATCAAACCTGTCGAAGGTGCGGGATTGAAACAATCCACTATCTTGCATGTTGAATGAATCAGACCTAGAGAAGCTGTCAAATGAGTAAGCTTCTGATCCTTCACCAAAACTCTGTTTGGAATAATGGTAAGTGGAGGTGCTTGGAATACAATCCATGAAAGGAGAAGAGCCCTTCCCCTTGAACATGTTATCCGCATAGGCAGGAGTGCTTGGAATGGAATCTGTAAACAAGGATGAACTCTGACTCTTGAACATATTATCCGCATAGGCAGGAGTGCTTGGAACAGAATCTGCATACAAGGAGGAACTCTGACCCTTGAACATGTTATCCGCATAGGCAGGAGTACTCGGAACAGAGTCTGCAAACAAGGATGAACTCTGACCCTTGAACATGTTATCCGCATAGGCAGGAGTGCTTGGAACAGAATCTGCAAACAAGGATGAACTCTGTCCCTTGAACATGTTATCTGCATAGGCAGGAGTGCTTGGAACAGAATCTGCAAACAAGGATGAACTCTTCCCCTTGAACATGTTATCTGCATAAGCAGGGGTGCTTGGAACAGAGTCTGCAAAAATAGATAAGCTCTTCCCATGGATCATGTCACCAGCGTTTGCAGGGGTGCTCGGAACAGAATCAAAAACAATCGGACCTTTCCCTGGGAACAAGTTTTCTGTTTGCGAGGACTGTTTTTTATGAGCTTTATATTGAAGCCGCCAAGACCAAACAAAGAGTTATCATCATGCCTCTCAGGATCCATCTCCTGCAAGAAAAGCTTTCTTTAGACCAATTTGTGATTCTCGATAAAATTCTGACAAATCTTTTCAAGAAACAATCATCTGTTAAGAAATATATTGAAATCAAGACAAACAAGAGGAACTTTGACATTCGAAAGAGAAAATAATATAAGGTTGCCTTTGATAAACTAATTTGGCACTAAAAGTTCCTGAGATACTAAACTAGAAAATTGTAGGCACTACTCAGCTTTGGCCAAAAGACCAAACAAAAAAATTTCATCATAACTGAAACATAGTTCTTTTTCATTGACAATAAAACTGAAACAACTGCCTAAGAAAACCAATCTGAATAGAGAAAATCAGTTTCATTCTCTTGATTTGGCTTCAGAAATAAAACAACCTGCAATCTAATCTGAATGAGGGCTGCAAGACTAAAATCCACTTACCTTGCCATGTTCATTGTCAAAGCCCGAAACTGGATCTTTAAACTGAGAATCAAATTTCCCCAGATGGGTTCATCAAAACTCTTGTCCTCCAAAAATAAAGATTCAGCACCACCCTGATCACTGTAAAGGTATATCACCAATTGGTCAAAACCTTAAGCCTTAACATCAAAGACTTAAAGGAAGAAAAAGGAAAAACAAATCCCTAATGTACAACCATTTGCAGGTTCACTGCTTGCAGAAAATAAGCAAAAGGAATAGTAGCTTGAGAACCACATAATACTCCAAACGAAACAACACACCTTCTAGATTCTTTAGCAAGAGCTGAGCTATAAATATCATCAGTTTTCTTGGCGTGGGGAGAACCATCAGCACCACTACTTGTCCCATGGGAATCCTGGAATTCTTGAGATTGCTTATCTGTTGTAATTGCCGGTTTTCCAGATGGACTTTTTGCCAGGCCATCCTCACTTTGGTCAATTGCTATGTCTTTGTCAGAGATTGCAGAAGCTGTTTCTTTTTGAACTAATGAAGATTTTGGTTTTGGAGGGGCTATGACATTTTGCACATCAAGTGTGAGTTCCTTTACAAATGTGAATCCTACAAGGAGAATCAAGTCATGATTCATCAGAATAGAATACAAATAGATTAATCAGAAGAAAGTACCATATCAAATTCTATACATAATGTCAAGTGCGTGCCAAATATTATTAAATAAGGGTCATCAAACAATAGGTTGGACATCAAAAGATACGCCCTACAAGCACATACCTTCATCTTCAAACTTGTCCCAATCTTCATCCCAATCAGCTGCACCTTCTTGGATTCCAGATTGCCAACCTTAGAAAAGTTGACAATAAAGTGAAATCTTTTAGGTATATGCTTATATAAAAATACATAAGATTAGCTGGAAAATGGAATCTTCACAAAAAATGTAACCCGAATAAGAAAACAAATCCGATAAAAGCTCTCTACATATTTTATATTTACTATCTTGAAAAAAGGAAAAAAAAATGATGGGAAACCTTACAACCACATTCAGCTCAATGCAGATTAAAAAGCAAATAAAAAGTGTGGCATGATTACATTAGTAACAAATGATAGCTTCTGGAGGAGATTAAGAATAGTAGCATAAACAGAAATATTTGCCTTGAGTACACAAGTCCTCCCCCAATCATTCTTATCAACACACCAGTGTCTCTTCAAGTTCTATTCAAATTATTATGTATCAACTACAAACTATGTGGTCATATCTAACATTTGCATCCCTCAAACTGCATTCAAGCTTTCACCTTGTGCAACAATTTGCTCTATCCTTCTAAGATATGCATCCGTCAATTTGTGTCCTAAGTCGCCATACCTTATTGTCTATAGGAACTGTCCAACTTGAAGATCGAATATCCACATCTATGAGGTCGTCCTTGTTTTACTAAATGTACACTCTATATATTCCATCTTTGATTAGCTCAATCTAAACCCCTGAGCTTCTAGCATAGGGAAAAGCCCATACATCATAAAATAATTATCACAAGCATAGAAAGAATGAAAATAATACCAAATGGAAGCTCAACCAGTGAAGTCGGTTTAGCTCGTAATCCATACTGTTTGCAACGTTCATTAAGAGATTTCATTAATTCCTCCAGACTTGTTTGTATTTGATTAGCATGCTCCTGCACAAGCCAACAGAAACTACGCTCTTAGTCTCTTACATACAGATTTCAGTATCCATGACAAAATTAGTTACAAATAGATAATACCTGGAGAGCACCGTCCTTATTGTCTCCTTGTTCTATTTTGACTATTGCCTGATACAATTCCATTTTTTTCTCCTGCAAGTAATTCAAGTCAATCTAATAGAAATTTCTTATGAAAGCAAAGCACAAGAAATTTTCAGCAAAAGGATATTCAAGCTTGACCATCAAGCCAATCAAACATTAGCTATCATTCAAAACATAGAAAACTCCTAAATACCTGGATATCACGAAATGTGGACTCCTCAATGGTTAACCTAGAGGCTACATCTCCAGACAGCCTGTACTTCTCTTCATACTTCTTTGCCAATGCTTCAACCTGAAATACAGAATAGTTCAACTGCTCCAAAAAAAAAAACCACAGGGAAAGTAGAATTGAATTGTGGAACTTTGAAATAAAAGGAAATGTACCTCTCTTTTGTCAGCAGAGGCTCTTTCAGTAATCTCATTAAGTCGATTGTCACTTCTGCTTTTATATAAAATCTATTGCCGAGTGGCAACAAGTGGAAACAAAAAGGGCAACAAATCAATGGTCTGAAGATGCAACATCAAAGACAGCAAAACATATGCATTTTAACAAGAATTTAGTTCAAAAATGATTCCCGTCCAAGGCATTCTTATGTCTTTAGCAAACTAGCATTCTAGAAAGTAGGGTTTGTTTAATCCCAAAGAGGTCAACTGTAACTGAAAGATGAAGGCCTTGCAATAATCATAAAGTCAAAAGGAGCATACTTACAAGTTCCTGCATCTTAGCACGAAAGAATTCAGTCTTTGCTCTTGAATCTTGTATCTCCTTTTCCAGTTCCTCAACCTTCAGAAAGAAAA